AGATCAGATAAAGTTGAAGGATAATTTGACTTTTTCGACATTGCTAGTGAGGATCATGGATACTCGTGTCAAGAGATTGAGAGGCAAGGACATTGCCTTGGTGAAGGTGTTGTGGAGTCAAGTGGACGAAGGAGACGCTACTTGGGAAGTAGAACAAGAAATGAGGGAGGATTACCCTCATTTATTTGGATCGAGGTATGTTTAATTTCCGGGGACGAAAATTCTTATAAGAGGGGGAGGATTGTAACACCCTAAATTTTAAGTCTTTAAAATTATAGTATCAGTCCTGAGATCCTCGCCTGAGCGAGAGATTCTCGCTTGAGCGAGGGAGAGACTCACCTAGGAGGGTGAAATACTGGGCTATACTGGAGGATCCTCGCTTGAACGAGAGATTATCGCCTGGGCGAGAGAGACTCACCTGAGAGGGTGAAATCCTGGGGTATACAGGAAAATTCTCGCCTGAGCGAGAGTTGTTTCGCCTGGGCGAGAAATAGCAATATGGGGTTGTTGACACTGTGAGATTCTCGCTTGAGCGAGAGGGTCAGATATGAGTTTTTAAAATGGGCGGGATTTTCTCGCTTGAGCGAGAATAAGCTCGCTTAAGCGAGAACCCGACGAGAGCATTAAATGAGGGAAACCCCAAATACATTTTTAGGTAAAGATTTGAAGAGAGGAGAGAGAATAGAGCATTCCCAAGGTCTAGGAGCTTTGATTCTTGTTCAAGATCTTGAGAAGAGGTAAAACTCTCTATCATAACTCTCTTCTTCTCTTGAAAACCCATTTTTGGTATTATGGATCTCTTCTTAAGAATGAGGGAAACCATGGAAACTCACCCTTTTGAGTTATGGTTCGTTTTATGTGACTTTTCTCTTGTAAACTCTTGGTTTAAAGTTAGTATGTTGAAAATGGAAAGAGTTTGTGGGTTGGTTCATGAAAACCCTAAAACCGTAAATAGAAAATGGGGTAAAATGGAAAATGGTTAAAATGCTAGAGGTAGAAGATGAGTTTACCTTCTAATGTTGAAAATATGATGAATATCTTGTATGGTTAAATGATGCAATATAAGTTGTTTATGTGATATTTGGTATAAGTGACTAACCTTGTGTTATATGGTGGGATAAGGAAAGATCCTAAGGTTGGAGGTGGTGTCGGTGGAACTTGAGGAGTTACCAAGAACCCAAACTCAACACTCAACGAGGTAAGGATAAGTTAACTGTGATAGAAAATGTGTGGATTTTTCTGATGTGAATGACGAAATGAAGCGTAAATCACTTAGTTGTTATAAACATATATGGGTATGTTTGTAACAACGAGGAGTGGATTTACCGTATGTGTATTGGTGGAGTGCCAATGGAAATAAAACTCGGAATAAGAAAATGATTCGTAAATCACTTTGTAGTTATAAGCATATGTGCATATGTTTGTAATGATGTCGGGTGCATTTACTGTTTTTTTGTATTGGTGGAGTGTCAATGATAACAAAACTCGTGAAATGTATTGGTGGAGTGCCAATGGAAATAAAACTCGTTTTTAGCCGACCATGATTGGTTACCGACTTTGGCTCAAGTAATGTAGCTAGCTTTGGCTCAAGCAATGTAGCAAACTTTGGCTCAAGTTATGTAGCATGGTTTTCAAAAGTATGAACGATGAAATTGGCTTTTAAGCAAACTTGATTTTAAACCGTTTATTTAACCTTATTAAATGTGGATTATCTTACATTGATATTTAATGAGTTAACGACTTATTCCTTTGTGTTTTCCTGGTGTATTGTCAATGTTAATCCCATTGCAGGTAGGTGGAAGGAGCATGGGTGTTTTTGATTAGGAGCTTAGAGACTTTTATTTTGATGTCTCTTATCCATTCTTTTTGTAACCTTATTGGTTGTACTTGAACTAATTATTTTGTAATTATAAACCTGATTGTCGTACATGACATTGAACCTGGAAACTAGTAACTCGAGATATAGGTAGCTATGGGTGTTTTGGAAACCCGTAGCTAATTGTATGTGTCCGTTACTAGGTTATATTAATATGAATTATGTTTTTCTGCTATCGGATTTTGTATGTTACTTTTGATTTATAGATCGGGTGTAAGGGAGAAGTGAGGTCTTTTAAATAAATTTATTCACTCGGTAATTATGATTTATTGTTAAATGCATGGAATTGGATTAAATAAGGAAAAAATTTCAAGGGTAGAATTTGGGTCCTTACATCCTACATGGTTAGATCCTTTCTCAACCCATTTAAAATATCCTAAGGGAACACCATATTTTATAATGTGACAAGTATTTGGTGTGTGCTCATGATTTTTGCAATAAGAGCAAATAGGCTGATGCATATGTATCCTAGATTTATGTTTGCTATGTGTAGATGCATGGATACATATTTTCCGAAAGTCTGTTATGATAGACTTACTTTGTTTCTTAAGAGCAGGGCCTTTTCCATAGCCAAGACCTCTTCGGTCCGTAGAGTGTCTTTGATCATTAATGATCTTACTCAGGCTCTTGCTACTCTTGTTCATTTTGTTTAGTTCAAGACTCAATGTAGAAACTTTGTTGCCAAGAGTAATGCAATTTAAACATGAGGATGATGAAGGTATGTTTCTAAGAGAAAATAGTTCATATTTTTGTTTTAGAAACATTTTTGACAATTTTATATATTCATCATGTAGATCATTAAATGCAGTTTGCAATTCGGAAGAAGAAAAAGGGATAGATTCATTTACCTATTCATCGTCTGAATGATGAGACGCCATAAGATAGAGATGCGCCTGCTCTTCGCTTTCTGGTTTAGAGGCTGAACTTGTGTCGTTGTCTTCCCAAGCGATATAAGCTCTTCGTCCATTCTTTAATTCATTCTTTCCTTTGAAAAAACTCTTCTTGATGTTTGGACAATTCATCTTCATATGGTCAGGTTTGCCACACTCAAAGCATGTAAAATTATGGTATAAAGTGGAGGCCTCATTGCTTTTGGAGAACTTCTTTATTTGCCCGGTTCTTCCGCCTTTGTTCCTTCTTAGGAACTTGTTGAACTTTTTGACGAAGAGGCTCATGTCATCGGTCTCTTCCTTGTCGTCTTCATCCACCGATGAATCATATTTCTCAGCTTTTGCCTTGAGAGAAATGTTCTTCTTTTTCTTCTCTAGTTCCTCGTGCTGATCAAGTTGACTCAATTCAAGTTCATGTTCCTGCAACTTTCCAAACAAAGCAGCAAATGATATTTTCGAAAGACTTTTCTTGGCCAACAAATCTTCTATTTGCTTTTTCAACTCGGTCAATTCCAATGGTGCCATCCTATACGGAGCTATCGAGATAGGTCCAATTTTAGACACTAGATCAACGGAAAACTCCACTTCTCTTACTGGTGGTAACTCTAGAATAACCGTAGGAAACACCTCCGGAAATTCACACACCACAGGAAAATACTCCATCCCTGACTTCTTTTCCTCTTCTAAGGAAGCCATCAACACATAGATGAGTGCCCCTTCCTTAAGAGAAGACTCAACCTCGTTGGCTGATAATGACTTCAAACAGCTAGGAATGTCAGACATCCCACTAGGGACCCTAAACATTATAGTCTTACCAAAACAATTCAGCAAGACTCTATTTTCAGACAACCAATCCATCCCAAGTATCACATTTATTTGGGATAACGGAAAACATATCAAATCGACCAAAAATGTCCTATCATATACAACCACAGAACACTTAGGACAAAATGTCGACACTACTACAGGTGCATTTGTAGGAGTAAAAACAACCAAATCAAAAGGCAGCACATCAGTTTGCAAGCTTAATCGCTTCACACATTCACAAGATATAAAGGAATGAATAGCACCCGAATCAAACAACACAAAAAGAGAGATACCATTTACCATACAGTTACCTTATCAAACTCTCTACATCAAAAGCCTTACAACCGTTCATAGTGAACACTTTGCCAGTAGTCTTGGGTCTCTCAGTCCTCACGGAATTTACACTTCGATTCAGCTTAGGACATAACTTCTTCAAATGACCGGGTTGTTTGCAAAAGAAGCACCCATTTCCCGCTCCGAGACATATATCACCAAAATAAGCTCTACCACACTTGGTGCACATAGGTGGCTGTTGTCCACCGATAGCAGTCGGAGGCTTTGGTCCTTGCGAACTAGGCCCCCGATATCTAATAGGCGGGATATAAGGCTTTATGTTGTCGAAGAACGCCCTACCCTTCCCTTTCTCACGCACAAAGTTTCTCTGAGGCCCAAAATTTCTTGGTGGGTAGGCCTTTTGCATAGCAGTGTCTCTAGCTTTTCGGTCGTCCTCATACATCCTACACTTATTGACCAAGGTAGGGAAATCCATAATCTCTTGATGTCCAAACATCATTTTTAGTTCCGGTCTCAAACCGACATCAAACCTCGCACACTTGGACCTCCTGTCCGCATCCATCTCATAAAAGGGGCAATACTTTGCCAACTCTTCGATCTTCGCCGCATATTATCCCACCGACATACTTCATTGCTCTAAACGCAAGAACTCTATCTCTTTCTTCCTCTTCAATTCAGTAGGAAAGTACTTCTGGAGGAACTTCTCTTTGAACGATTCCTAAGTAATCGCTCATCCTTCAATTTCCATTTTCCTCCTGGTGTACTCCCACCAGTTCTCTACTTCCTTAGTCAGCATGTAGGAAGCATAAGTTACCTTCTGATTATCCTCGCAACCCATGCCTCGGAAGATCTTCTCCAAGTCCTGAACCAATTAATTTGCTGCATCTGTTGCAAACCCTCCTTGGAACTGAATCGGGTGGTGTCGGCAAAATTCATCTAGTCTACGGTACTCCGTTGGTCCTTGCAGCGCAAGTGGTTGTGGGTTAGGATGATGATTGACATTCTGGTTCAAGTTCTGCAGAATCTCATTCATATGTTGCAGGACTACAATCATCTGTGCCAACAATTTATTCTGCATGTTTCCTCTTCCACATCCAGCCATGACTTAACCTGAACTCTTTCATTATCAGCATTCAGAACTTCACGCAAAACAAATTATCACCTAATCACTAATCAAACAATTAAAACAAATCAAACAAAGAAGAATGTAAGGCCATACCCTAGGCTGTAAGGTTAACCTCCGCTCTGATACCATAATTGTAACGACCCGATTTATTATCACGAAATTTATTTAAATTTTCCAAAACATAAATTCTCAAACTATAATTTATTTTTTTGAAAATATATAAATTATTTTCCCAACACACCTTTAATGATTCATCACCTAATATAATTCAACAATGTATATTTGGTCAATAATTACTCAAAAATCATCTTATCCACGGGGATGAGATTCAATAAAACAAAAGGGGTTTATCCATACATTGTATCCCACATGAAAATTTGTTAGTGAACTTAGTATCAATACAACAAACTCCCACACATGGGACTAATGTCAATAATTAACAAAACATAAGGCAAGACAGGTAGCCACAGAATTAATCCAAGCAAAGCTAGGTTCACTCCCAAAATTCTGAAAATTCTTATTCTATCGCTTCACCTACAATCACATTACCATGGATTGAGCAACAAGGAAACATAGAGAGTCAGTCATTAGTTCATACAATAAATGACATAGTGGATTTAAATAGAATAATAGACATTGGAATTCTCAAAACTACATACGGTTATTCATCACATTATTATTCCATCCAAATTTCAACCAAAATACTACATACTCTTTCAGACTAAACCAACATAAATGTTACTACAAGTATTACGCCGCTTAAGGCCATCAATAACTCAATGACAGATCCAAATTCATACCACAAGGCAAGTCAAATCTATACCACGAATGCATGTCAAATCCATACCACGAAGGCAGGTCAAATCCATACCACGAAGGCAGGTCAAATCCATACCACGAAGGTAGGTCAAATATTCATACCACGAAGGCAGCTCAAATTCATACCACGAAGGCTGATCAAATTCATACCACGAAGGTAGGTCAAATACCCATACCACGAAGGCAGGTCAAATCCATACCATGAAGGCAGGTCAAATCCATACCACGAAGGTAGGTCAAATCCATACCACGAAGGCAGGTCAAATCCATACCACGAAGGTAGGTCAAATCCATACCACGAAGGCAGGTTAAATCCATACCACGAAGGTAGGTCAAATATCCATACCACGAAGGCAGGTCAAATATCCATACTACAAAGGAAAGTCAAATCAATATCACAGCATACCAATAACATAAGATAGGATTAACATAGTTAAATAGAAAATTTCTGATTTTTCCCGATTAACCATTTCATTCTACGGACCCTCCAACTAGTGAGTGTCGTTGGAGTTTCCAATGGTATCTTCTATTACCAAAAAGTATAATGATATTCTCTCACCTGAATGTCAGCTAATGTGTTGCACTAAGTAGCTTTGTCAAGCTCTCCGTCGTTTCCTCCAACCTTAGGGTCTTTCAACACCCAAAACAACAACCACAACATATCAATTTTTCATGTTCAAAACAACCACAAATGTTATACATTATTCGAAATTCCTCAAGGGAACAAGTCTAACACTACCCATTTCACTTTACTATCAAAAAGGGGTTCACAACATTTCAAACAACCCAAGGGTTTTGAAAACAACATTACTCACATACCATTTTCAAATACAACTCATAAAACATGAGTTTCACAAGGTTTTCAAGCCTAAAACAAACCAAAAACCTCAAAGTGAATTTATGGGGTTTTACCTCAACCATAGAGAAGAGATTCATCTTTAATACACCTGATACACCATAATAAGGGAAGCTAAGCTAAGTGATCTACCTCTTCTCAGGCCTTCTCTTCGACTCCAAGAGCTCACAAATCGCCTAGCCACTTCTCCTCTCCTTTGTTTTAAAAAAAGTGTGTAAACACCCAATTTTGTCCAGCCATTTACATTTAAAAAAAAACCGAAACAAAAATTATGCATCATTTCATGATTTGTGAAAGCGTTTGGGTATATAAATTAACTTAAATTGATTTCATAGTTTTCCTACAACAACCGTGTTTTTTCTATCACTCATATATTTCTTTCATGATGGTGTTATTAGCTACAAATACTCACGGAATCAATGCTTATATTGATTGTGATACTTGAAGAAAAGAAACTGTTTTATGAATAAATGAATAATCATGCCACATAATCAATAAATCAAATTGGAATCATGAAATGAGCAAAGTGCAAATAATCCAAGATCCTATTTCCCAAAGACAAGGGGGAAGGAACTAATAGAAGAACATGCTAATTAAGAAGAAGCTAAAAACAAAACGAGCCGGTAAGCCTGGATCCCAGCCATGTTACTACTGCTCTCCACCCCACCATTAGGCCTATTCAGATCTTCATGAAGATAGCTGTGATATCCCCATGATGGTTCCTGCAAAGACGAACCAAAGATGAAGCATAACAGATGTCAATAGTTGTTACAGTATGAGGTGTAACATCCTAATTTTGAGTCCTTAAAATTATAGTATCAGTCCTAGAAGTCTCGCTTGGACGAGAAATGACAATTTGGGCTATTGACACAGTGTAATCGATTACATGGTCCTTGTAATCGATTACATGCTGATATCTGATCAGACATGTGTAATTTTTCATGATGTAATCGATTACACTATCCTTGTAATCGATTACATCATATTAAAAACGTCAGATATATGCATTTTTTACACTGTAATCGATTACACAATTATGGTAATCGATTACACTTAACACGGTGAGATTCTTTGAAAACATAAATAGACGTTCCAAGTGAGGATAAGGGTTATTTTTCGAAAAACAAAGAGGAGAGGAACGGTTTGAGGAGTTGAGCACCCTTAGAGTCGAGAAAGAGGCCGGAGAAGAGGTAAATCGCTTAACTTAGTCCCTCTTAGGGTTGAATGTCTTGTTTTGGGATAGGGTTTCTTCTCCATGTTTTGGGATGAAACTCCATGAACCCTCTCTTTGCATTTTGGTCCGTTTTGCTTTGGAAAACCTTGTAAAACTCATAGTATATGAGTTGTTTTACCAAATGGGTGTGTGTGGGAAGTTGTTTTCAAAACCGTAGAGTCATTTCAATATTATGGAAACCCCTTTTTGATGATGAAGTGAATAGATGATGTTGTCTTGTGTTGTATGAGTTTTGGTTAGTATTATTCTTGTCTGGACATGTAAATTGATGTGTTGTGATTGTTGTTGTTTTGGGTTGAAAGACCCTAAGGATGGAGGAGACGGCGGAGAATGCAACTGAGCTTTAGTGCAAGCAGTAGCGGCTACTCAGGTGAGGGAGCAGCATTAACCTTTGTGGTATTAGAATCTTAGCATTGGAAACTCCAACGACACTCACTAGTTGGATGGTTTCGATGAATTAACACGATTAAACGGGAAATATCATGAATTTCCTATTTAACCGCGTTAATCTTACGGTTGTGGATAATATGTTGGTATGGAATTGTGACCTGCCCATCGTGGTATTGGGATTGTGACCTGCCCTTCGTGGTATGGAATTGTGACCTGCCCTTCGTGGTATGGAATTGTGACCTGCCCTTCGTGGTATGGAATTGTGACCCGCCCTTCGTGGTATGGAATTGTGACCTGCCATTCGTGGTATGGAATTGTGACCTGCCCTTCGTGGTACGGAGTTGTGACCTGCCATTCGTGGTATAGAATTGTGACATGCCCTTCGTGGTATGGAATTGTGACCTGCCCTTCGTGGTATGGAAATGTGATATGTCCTTCGTGGCATAGAGTTAGACCTGCCTTCGTGGTACGGATTGTGGTGCACTTGTAGTGTGGATTTTGACTGTGGTTCGATTGATGGACATTTGATTTATATTATGTATGGGTGGTATGATCATGGTATATTGGTATATGGACTCTCTTGGATGTATTTGTGCTGTAATGCTGTATAATTCCTGTGAAGTAACGTTTCAATGTTACTATTCTATTTAAAACCACCATGTTATATATTACATGTATTTAATGACTGACTCTATCTATGTTTCCAACTAGTGAGTGTCGTTAGAGTTTCCAATGCTAAGATTCTAATACCACAAAAGTTAATGCTGCTCCCTCACCTAAGTAGCCGCTACTGCTTGCACTAAAGCTCAGTTGCGTTCTCCGCCATCTCCTCCAACCTTAGGGTCTTTCAACCCAAAACAACAACAATCACAACACATCAATTTACATGTCCAGACAAGAATAATACTAACCAAAACTCATACAACACAAGACAACATCATCTATTCACTTAATCCTCAAAAAGGGGTTTCCATAATATTGAAATGACTCTACAGTTTTGAAAACAACTTCCCACACACACCCATTTGGTAAAACAACTCATATACTATGAGTTTTACAAGGTTTTCCAAAGCAAAACGGACCAAAATGCAAAGAGAGGGTTCATGGAGTTTCATCCCAAAACATGGAGAAGAAACCCTATCCCAAAACAAGACATTCAACCCTAAGAGAGACTAAGTTAAGCGATTTACCTCTTCTCCGGCCTCTTTCTCGACTCTAAGGGTGCTCAACTCCTCAAACCGTTCCTCTCCTCTTTGTTTTTCGAAAAATAACTCTTATCCTCACTTGGAACGTCTATTTATGTTTTCAAAGAATATCATCGTGTTAAGTGTAATCGATTACCATAATTGTGTAATCGATTACAGTGTAAAAAAATGCACATATCTGATGTTTTTAATATGATGTAATCGATTACAAGGATAGTGTAATCAATTACATCATGAAAAATTACACATGTCTGATCAGATATCAGCATGTAATCGATTACAAGGATCATGTAATCGATTACAATGTGTCAACAGCCCAAATTGTCATTTCTCGTCCAAGCAAGACTTCCAGGACTGATACTATAATTTCAATGACTCAAAATTAGGATGTTACATGAGGCAGTTAGGAAAAGGCAATAAGAAAGGAAAAACCAAGTGATACCAGTAACATGAATACAAAGGGTGCAAATCAGAATTCATGGAATCACAAAGAATGATAAAAGGCACCAAATAAAGTGGCAATCAATATATGCAAAGCAGTTAAGATGAGTAAGTTGAATGAGTAATTGACAGCGATAATGAGAAAGTTGAATGAGTAATTGACATAATGGAATAATCAGGGTAATTAGGATAGAAAAAATCATAAAACTAATATACCCCTGGCCAACAGTTAAGATGTGGATCATGATGCATAGAAAGAAAGTGAATCAGCCGTGAGTTTCAACAAGAAGAATTGCAAAAGGTAGAAAACTGAATCATTGTTATTGGCATATTTCCATTCAGTTACACACTCAATATCAGCATAAATGGCAATTATTCTTGGGCAGCTTTAAAAGAGCAATAATAAGGAAGAAATAAATAGTCGAGTGAAGGTTATCCAATCGGCAAACCAAAAGGTTTCACATTTCAGCAAGAGAGTCACACAATTCTATAAAAAGGAAGCAAACACCTGAACCAGGAGGAGGGGGATACCATTGAGAAATAGATATCACTCATCCATCTTTCAACCACACAAGCAATATAACCAGCAGTCCATACACTCATACCACAGAAAATAACCAAAAAGTTATCCCACATACACAAGCAGCCAAAGACAACACTCAGAAACCATATCCCACACCTATCATCCATATCCCATAAAAAGGCATGGATTAGAGAGCCATAAAAAGGAGTTTCATGGTTAAAGTCAACCTTTAGGACAGTTCTTCTCCATAAAATTTATCCATATCCCCATAATACATCCAAGTTAAGCTATCCATGGAGATCATGAATACACAAATTCATGCCATCAATTTTACATACAATGAAGCATGAAGCAAACAACAAGAGATTAACATCAACATCATTATAAACCATTTCAAAGAAAACAACCAGATAGAACACATACACATACATTACGTGCAGCATCCGAGACACTGAAATCTAGATAAAGGAAGATTGGTAGCAGGAAAAGACAGCAATATCAAGCTTACACACAAGGTTCTCATCGTTAATTAAAGGCATAAGCATGCAAAGAAATATAGAGGGATAGTGTTCATTACTGAAACCCCCTTTAGCTCCACCATGGAACCATAGTGAGTTACCATCGAAGAAGGGAACCCACCCTCGAAAAGAAGGAGAGGACCTTACAGTGTCTCCCCTTGGAGCCATGAACCTTAGCCTTGGTGCCGTCATCTTCCATAGCCGCTTCCTCTTCCGTCAATGCTTCATACCCAAAGCCGTCACTGCCGAAGCAAGAGGAAGAGAACCATCGCGAGCCAATGTCGAGGGGGGGCTCGAAAACAGCTTATGGTCGTGGAATCGTAACATCGCTTAGACGTTGTGGCTGGTTTGGTTTCGGACATGGATGGTACTTATCGCCGCTGAGAGAAATAGAGAGAATGAGGTATGAATGGGGATTAGGGATTAGGGATTTGGATCCTTTTTTAGCTTTTTGGCTCATATGCCATGGAGCATGGGGGTAACCGTGTTACCCCATTTTCTTCCCTTTTTCTAATTCATTATTACTTCCTTTTTTTTATTTTACTTGTTTAATCCTTTTTGTTTTATTTAACTAT